ATGCTCTGACTATGGGAAACGTGCCTATGGGAATGCTTTTCACATGGGTAACTGTTCTATGGGAAGTCTCTCTTGTGGGAAGTATTTCCCATTAAAGTTTAGAACACTGTCAAATCTATAGTTTTTGGAATATCAACTTGAAATTTGGTGTGCTCCATCTAGGGCAAATTTCAGTAGGGCCATTTCAATGTTTTTGATATCTGAGCATATTTTTCTAACAACTTGAAAACGGCTCGACTTACGTTGAAGCGGACCGCGGATTTGGCTCCGCCTGGATTCTGACACCCTTAAACATGTATCGCGGCGGTAGAAGTCACTAGAGTCTTGCTTGTTCAGTCATTGATTTCAGACTCACACTTACAGACAAGATTCCCATAGCCACGTTCCCCATAGGAACATCTACCCATACGCAAGATTCCCCTTGCCAATTTCCCATGGGGATGCCAGCCGTTCCTATGGGTTCATCATGGGTTCCCATGTACCATAATTTCATGGGTTTGCATCCCCATGGGAATCTCATGGGGATGCCCATGCTGCCCAAAGGAGAGTCTCTCCTATGGGAATCCTCATGGGAATTTTACCCCGAGCTTGAGACATCTGACTTTAATATATTTTGTCTGTTTCCATCCCATTCAGCCCACCCCAAGACGGTGCTGTTTGTCGGGCATGCCGGCCTGATGGGATCCTCTGAGGCCATGTTCCTGGGCGTGCCACTCGTTTGCATCCCCATGTTTTCGGACCAGCCCTTCAACGCTGCCCTGTTCGAGTATAAGGGCATCTCGGTGACTCTGGACCACCGCCGTGACCTTAACAAGGACACGATTCTGGCAGTGTTGCGCAAGATCCTTGACACCGACAAGTAAGTGTGAGGGGGAAATGATTTAGGTAATCCGCTAGACATGGCCTGTGTCCATCCGGGGTAATCCAAGAGTAACCCGGAGGTAATCCGATAATTATTTCGGGCGTAGTCCAGGGGTAATCCGGGGTTTTCCGGGGTTATCCGGGGGGTCATCCAGCGTTATCAAGGGTAATCCGGTGGTATCATGGACAATCCGGGATTGTTCAAGCAGTAATCCAGGGGTAATCCCGGTTTCTGTTGTACCCGAGATCTCAGAGTCGTTTTCTACCTCAAATAAGAGGCACACTGGTTACCCTGTATCAAACAAAAACAACAATCAAACATAGTAGTCGAGGTTCTACCCTCTAAAATTGTATGGCACTTGTAAAGACAGTGTGCAAAATCTTGGCGCCACCAGACAACGCTTTCCTCTCCCGGATCGCATTTGAAGTTGGGAACTCGAAACGGCCGCGGGAAGACCACCATGTTGATCCCCAGCTGCGCTCGGCTGGTGCGCCTAGGAACGATGGGGCACGGTTCAGCTGAGACCCTATTAAACCCTACTTCTCAATTGCTGAGGTGAATCCAGTGTCACAGCAAACGCGTCCTCTACAGAGGCGTAAGTGTAGCGACAGGCCATGTTACGTTTGACGGAGCGAATTGGCAGTTTCGATTTTTTTTTATTTTGCGGACATCGGGGCTGTCCCATACTACATAAGACGAAAACACTTATAAACGCCAGGTAGTGCTGACGCGGTCGCGGTGAAAATTCAGATTATTTTAAAAACGCCTGTCAGCTAGGCCAAACACCTTAGAGGCGTGTAATGTGGGCGGTCTATCGGGCATCACCACAGGCGCAAATACACTTTTTAAAACATTCTTTTCAAAAACTCGTATCAGAACGCAGGTGCTACCTGGCATTTTTAACGGTTTTGATTTGGGGATGGTAAGGCCCTAATATCCACAAAGGAATAACATCGAAAAACACAAAGCTAATGAGTCGAACGTGACATAGGCTGTCGCGATACTTACGCCCCTATACAGGACGTGGTTGCTGTCGCAGCGGTCGCGTCAGTTGAGAGGTAGGGGCCATAGGGTCTCATCTGACCAGTGCCCTGTCGCTCAAAGGCGCACCAGTAGCGCGCAGCACTGGGTCAACATGGGGGTCCCTCTGGCGGCCGGTCTGAGTTCCCAACTTCAAATGCGATCCTGGTCGGGAAAGCGTTGTATGGTGGTGCCCAGATTTTGCACAGGGATTTTGCACAAAACGACTTTTAGAGCGTGCAACCTCTGAAATCGCAGACGTCGACCTTCTTTTTGATACGTGCTAAAACTAGCAGAGTTTTAGAGGTGGAACATTTTTCTAAACCGCATTGCGCAGTGTGTGACCGTGGATGCCAGAGAACGCACCTCATCGCCCTAACGATACCTCCTAACCATATCCGCTTATCTGCCACGTGTCCCCGACAAACCCGCTTATCTGCAGCCTAGCGTCGTCAAACTCGGTTAACTGCGCCCAGTGCTGGTCAAACCCGCTTAACTGCATAGGATTCCCTGCACAGATAAGCGGGTTTGTCCAGCACTGGGCGCAGTTAAGCGAGTTTGTCGGCACTAGGCTACAGTTAAGCGGGTTTGTCGAGGATACGTGGCAGATAAGCGTATATGGTTAGGAGGTATCGCTAATCGCTCGCCGTCTCGTCTAGGTACCGGTCTCGCTCGCGGGAGATTGCTGCCCTGTTCTCGGATCGGCCCAGATCAGCGATGGATGAAGCCGTGTGGTGGACGGAGTACGTGGTGCGGCACAGAGGAGCGCGCCACCTTCGGCCGCTGGGCGCTGACCTGCCCCTCTACCAGTACCTGCTCCTCGACGTAGCCGCCGTGGTGCTCGCTGTCGGCATCGTCACCCTGGTGCTGGCCTGGCTCTTGACGAGTGCTGCACTCAGGGCCCTGCAGGCTGCACTGCGGAGCCGTGGCAACAAGAGGAAAAATGACTGAACAACACAAGGACATAAGCTCTTATGTCGGATGCCCGACAACTCACCCCAGCTTACTCACCCACATGGTAGAAATCGATTTGTTTTCGGGGTCCCAGCTACAAGTTTTTGCCAACTCGCCCCGATCCACGATGTTTTTAAATTCTCGCCCCATTTTCCCCTTACATGATGAGCGGGTTGGGATCGCCAAAGAGACATTGCGCAGGTAGCCATGGGTGAAGCTGGCACGACGACTCATCCAAATACTACTAAAGTAAATCATTATTTACCCTAGCCTCCTGCTCCTGCTTTTGGAAAGCCACCAAGCGGGCTTTTGCATACGACCTAATGTCTGTCTATTTCTCTTGAACGGCTGAGGCTTTTCTAAACTAGACACAGAAAATGTTTGTGGGACCGCTGGGTTGGGTGATGATATGACACGTGGGTGGGAAATATGCCAGTACTTGAGTCCACGTTTACTCGAACGGTATAATGTAAATGCTAAACAATAAAATACTTCTGAAGAAAGATCTCCTGGACAAAGAAAACAATCACAATAAAGAATGAAAGCAGGGTATCGTAACCTAACAAAACAATACGTTATTTTTAGTGCTTTTGTGGTAACGTTCTTGAAACAACCGTAACCGTGATTTTCTACAGTAACGTTTCGAATTCCAGACCGATGTTATAGGGTACAACTCAAAACGATACAAAAGCAGTAACAAAACAAATAGTAACGAAAATAGTTACTCGGGTTCTTTCGTTACATTACAGCTAGACCGTTACTAAATTATTTAGAGCAGAAGAAACGTTACTGCAAAGTGTTACATAGAAAACGGTACGTTTCCTTGTAACAGAATTAAGTAAATCTAAATATGGTACGCGTAAATACATTACATGAATTGTACCGTAATTAGAAAATAACGATTGATCACCCGTTGTAACGTTACTCGTGTTAAAGATTTTTTAAAAGAGCGGAGAGCGAGGCGGAGAGCGACTCTGACAGTCATCCATAGGCCGGGGGTTCGACACCGGGCAGGCGAAATGGATTCAAGTTTATCGAGGTTTATTTATTTCTTTGAGTTGCTCTGTTCTCGTCTCGATTTGTCATGGATGTGGTCTGAGGAAGGCATAATCGAGTCTCAGGTGGGACTCAGCCGTAGTAATGCACGGCGAGCGCGCCTGCTGACTGTCGAATGGATATCAGCTGCAGGACACCTCGATCAACACTCAAAACAACATGGAATAGGCCTGGAGATTCTCTGCGCAGTCAGCCACGATCCAGGCGAAGTCTATAGTCCATACTGCATTCAGGGTATTCGTTTTTCACGGGGGGGATTAGAACGCGACTGCGGAGCTGGAGCTAAAGGTCAGGGCATTTAAGCGATGGTGGTTTTATGAGTAACGTTACTGAACAAAACGTTACTGATACAAAGCTGTAACGTTACATGTCGTACCGAAAATGAACGTTAGAATTTCGTTACGTTTCCTCTCCTGAAAACGTTACAGTTACGGGAAAATTCATTGGGGGACCGGCAGCCACCAACTTCCTACATTCTCTTGGTAACACTGTTAAAGTGGTATGGCCCTTAAGCACATTTCGGACACAACCCTTATAATGAAATTTAAGTTTTCGTATGTTTTGTTTTAAGAACTTGTAGACGACTATATGCTGATCATTTTGATATGGAACACCTAGGGTCGCAAATTTTGTTTAGTCGGTGCACGAGTCCCTGAGAGTCAGGGTAGTCATTTTGGTTAAGCATTGGCCTTACGGGAACGTGTTATACACGCTGCGCATTTTAGTTCATATTTTTCTTATTTAATCATAAAGACCAATTTTCCTTGTGTGCTATCGACGCAGAATTGAAAGACGAATCTGTTAATAAGTTTTTCAACTGTTTCGCATTACTCCTAACAAACCAGTCTTTAAAAACCCTAGGTTCGACAGGCCGGCCACGGGCTTCCATAAGGCAACATGGAGCGCAACCTTAACTTTAAAAGCAAACGAGAAACGAGTCCATAAAGAGAACTTTTCGAGTGTTGAGTGCACGACGGCTCAAAGAATATTTTAGTGCAAAATATCGTATGATTCATTACTTGACCTTAAGGGCTATACACCCCTAACCCGCGCCTGACTGCGCCCCTCAGGACTGCCCATTGTTGTGGGCAACCGCAACCACCCGTCCGCCCTAGTTCCTCACCGTTACGTAGCCTCGCACGTGACGGGCACTTGGTCCCCTTTCTGGATAGGGCAGAAGCAGAAGGCATTTTCGGAGAAGTGTGAAAACTGTGATCTAAGCAACGGTAGAGAAATAAAGTCTGATATTTTAAATCAGGCGCAGTCCTTGATGCAGGAGCGATGTTTTCAAAACCCCAGCGATCAATGTAAGGACTAGCATAAACGTAAGTTATTCTGTCATCTTCAAAGTGCATCTAAAGGTTAGTGGCGACGCATATCTATTTCATTTGTCGGAAAACCAGACTCGAGCGCCAATTCAAATATATTTAAAGTGTTCCTGATTATACTCTAAAACCCCTGTCCAATGGTATAAGAGTGACTCAAAGCCGATGAGCCACTTTGCGAATCTTTTACAAAACTTTCTTCCCCTGAAACTGCCTAGTGAAGTATGTATAGTGTTTTAATCATGTAACAAGACTATGTGATAGTAAAAATGTTGGACATCAATCTAGTAACAAGTAATTGTTTCTAGCGTGAATGAATGGTTTAGTACTGCTAAGGAGAACAGCCTGTGTACTACTGCAATGTGAGATCTATGAAGGAAAACTTGAATGTGTTATTATGCACTCTGGGCAATTATCAATAAAATTGATGTCATGACATTATCTGAATTCACTGTAAAGAAAGGTGAAAAGCAGTTCAATGATATTAGCGCCTTTGAGAGATTCGAGGGCACTAAGATGGTGGACGGCAACTAGTGCCTTCAAAATTACCAGTGCTGTCATTGAGGGCAAAATTATTGCAGACCCCTATACAATCGTTGCAGGGTGAAGTGTCTAGTCTCTGTAAGTACAAGGAGAGGTACCCCTGATATACCAAGATATGTTATGATGTACGACAATAAACGCATTGGTGATATTATTCAAGATTTTGTCCATAGTCAGGAAGATTCAACAATCAAGAAACAGAGAAAGGTGAATTAAGAAAAAAGTTTACGACATACTACAGGGGGGGGGGGCAATTGAGCCCCACTCCATCGACCTAAGTGAGCAGCCTGAAATGAAGGCAATTTGAGCAACGACACCACTGTAAGTATACAACCCACTGTGC